AGAATTGTGTTGCTTGACCAGGGTAGTTGTAGGAGATGCTATGAACAAGCAGCTCTGAGGCTGTGGTCGTCTTCTCGTGGGCTTATTCGGTGCGAGAAAGAGCGAACGCTCTGGCTGTGGCTTCAGGCTGCTTGCTTTGCCTTGCAGATGTGAAATCTGTGGTTTCCAGTGCAGACAACGAGCATCGCTCAAGTACCACATGACCAAACACAAAGCTGAGACGGAGCTGGAGTTTGCCTGTGACCAGTGTGGGAAGCGCTTCGAGAAGGCCCATAACCTTAATGTCCACATGTCCATGGTGCACCCTCTGACCCAGACTCAGGACAAAGCCAAGCCACTGGAGCCAGAGCCCACCTAAATACTTCAGGGACTTCAGAAAGCCAGGCAGTAAAACTAGAAGTGACTGCACAGCAGGAGCCCACCTGAGGGGGACGGGGAAGCTTTCCCAGTCCAGCCCTGTAGAAACCATACGGCAGAGTGGAGATTTTTAATCTACATTTTAGTCTCCCAAAGAACTCAGTGGAATTAGCTTCAGCTTGCTCAGAAAAAGCTTGTTATCATGCTGTGATTCTCCATGCTCACGTCTGATTCAGCAGTGTTGTACTAAGAGTCCGTCTAATCCCAGGGGAATGGATGTTGGCAGCACCCCTTCATGGTTCCCCCTTCTCCCCACACACACAGTTGTAGAAACAGAAGTTGGCCACAACTGTTCCCTGCCCGCACAAGCTGCTGCCTGTACACAAGTGCCCTCAGGGGGTTCTAAGGGTACACGGGACAGTGGAGCAACTTTGTTTTGGGGGGGGGGAGGGAATTATGATTCCCAAAGCAAGTCTAAACAGAAATTTGTAACCTACTTTTTATTGTAACAAGAGCTTCATGGTTATGCTTGTAATAAATTATTTACAAAGTAATTTGAAAGAAACAGAACTGGTGAGAAAGGTAGCACCTTGTCTGTCCCTCGATCTGTAGTCAGGGTGTTCTGCTCAGCTTGCTGTGCCGTGCCGGTGCCTGCCCGTCCCTCAGAACAGGACCAGCTCCTCGTCTAGCTCCGTGGCCGCAGCAGGCCTTGAGAAGTGCAGGAGGGTGGCTCCCAGCTCTGGGTCAAGTTCTTCACATGCGGCCAGTAGCTGGGGAGAGGGCAAGTAGCCAGTATTAGACCTGCTCGTGCTTCCTCAAAGCGAGTTACAGCAACGCTAGAGCATCTCGCTGCAGGTAAGAGGAAAGGGAAGCTGTTGCCAACTCGTGCAGAAATAACACGGTGCTTGTGGGAAACTTCAACACCTGCCCCTTCGCTGCGCTCGATATTTCCCCCAAGACCAAGCATTACGCAAGTGCTGTGTGAGCGCAGCATTTGCTGTTGCTGAGAAAGCCGGAGCCTGCAGGCCGGGCGAGGGAGGATGTGGCTATAGCAGTGACTGAGCAGCAGGTGTCCTCCACCGCTCCCAAACGTGTTACGGAAACCCAGAGTGTCTCTCGCAGGTTAAGCGGGCAGCACCAGTACAGGATCAGTGCCCAAGAAAGGCTACGCAGGCAGAAGCAGCGCTCCCAGCTCTCATGCACTGGGAGGAGAGGGCAAAAAAAAAAATCCCAACGCACCGGTTGTATGTTTCCAAAGCTTTGGGCAGGGCATCGTGGAATCGCACCAAGCAGGAACCGCCGGGCCGTGGAGATCACGTCCAAGGGATCCCCCTGGGGAACACGGAGGAGAGACAGGGCCAACCAAGGCCAAGCGCAATGTCACCTTCAGCTCTCAGTCCCCTGCCTCCAAAAGTGAAACAGGAGCCACCACACTGCACCTCGGGCTATTCCCAGGTTAAGCAGATCACTTGATCAGCGACTACATTCACCCTGAGATCCTGTATACGTAAGACAGCAGCGAGGCAGCTTAAGTTTTGGGCAGCAGCACCGGCAGCTTCTCTCAGCCCCAAGGTGCGAGGAAGCTGCGTGCCTGCCAAGGCAGCCGCACAAGCTACCTCTGCTTTGTGCGGGAAGGTGGGAACAAGAGGGATGCTGCAAGTGACAGAGGAGGGAGAAAGAATAGGATTCACAGTTACAAGAGGAAAAAAAAGACTGAGGTTCACTCACATGTTCTGTGCGGTCTGGGTTTTGCCCAGTTTGATCCGACAGTGGCAGTTCTTGCCCTTCCACAGCCGAATGTACAAATCGAGCGCCACGCAGAGAAAGGCCTGCTCGCGAGTGAGCAGCTCTTGGTGAAAGCAAGGGGTGAGGCTAGAGGAGGTCACACACCATGTCTGGTTAGGACTGGTTCCATGGTAGACTCAAACACATAAAGACACAAGGCAAAGGCATCTGCTGCATCACAAGTCCCGTTGTGTGCAGGGCCACCCCACTGCCCGGAGCAGGAAGGCAGGCAGGGACACTCCTGTTCAGAGCACAAAGCCATAGGGAAGCTTCTAGCAAAAGATACGGGACTCCTTAAATAGCAATCCTGCCGTGATCAAGGATTCTTTCCTGCACAGCTAAGGTAAGAGCTCAGCTCACCTACAGCCCAGCGCTACAGTTACCGCCGTGTCAGCTGCTGTACATGCAAACCGTCAGCCAGATCCTCCCTCACGAACACCTCCCTTCTGAGCCCAGCAGGGCCTTACCTGTAGAACGCAACAGGCAAGAGCCGGATGTGACGGTCCGAGGCTGCGCTGCGCAGGATGCTGTATTTTCCAGGGTCTGCAATAGCCAGAGACAAGCACTCTGGTGGTCCTCACGCCACCTTGCATACTTCCACAGCAGCACAGGGGCTCACAGTTCCTTCCAGCCTATAATAAACACTAGTGCCCAGGGCTGGTGACGACCGAGAGATGGAAGCTGTCCCCTCTGAGGCTTTCTCTACCAGCAGGAACAATACTGAGTTTCAGTTGGCTCCTGATCATCAGCTGGGTCGCCATACTGCAAGGATATTCTCAGCTTTTACTCCAGCAAGTATTTTTTGTGCTGCTTACAAAGGGCCATCAGTTCCTTCTCACAGGTATACTCATTAATCAAAGAGATGGGGCATGCCTGTCCAGCACTGCCCCTCGCCTTTCCACCCCTCAGAGGCAGGACTCGCTCACCTTTCTCTGCCGAAAGGAAAAGAAGTGGCCAGGACATGCCCTTCTCTTCCAGGCACTGCAAGATCTCCAGCGACCATTCCAGAGACATCTGAAAATCCACTCCGTCCTGCACATCAGAAAGGACAGCTCTAGTTTGTCTTACACTTCAGTTGCATCAAAGCAGAAAGGAACCCCTCACAAGAGACTGCATACACAAAGTGCTCCACTAGAGGATCTTTACGAATTCAGCCCGGTCTTTCCCCTCGCCTGGCATCCTGGGTTCCCCCGGGGCAATGGGGCACTGGAGCAATGCAGTACCTTCATCACCAAACCAGGCCACCACAGGGCTCAGCTGAGAATGATTTGTGAGAGAGGGGCGAGAGCAGTTATTCAGCAACCAGCTGGTCACCACCACACTTCCCAGTGGGGCTCAGCACAGAGCACTGCACGTCCTGCACTGACCCCACCCTGCTCCCCGGAGCAGGTTTTTCCCACCTCTAACCTTTCTAGTGATAGCATGTCTTGGGATTGGGGTTTTTGTGTGTGTGTGTGGTGGGGTTTGCGTTACTCATTTTACTTGGAATAACCTCCCTGATCTGTTTGCTCAAGATGTTTCTTTCCTCAATGACTCTTCCTCCAGACTCTCCCAGAGGCAGATTATGAGAGCAAATGATTATTTTTAACCTGAATCTGCTCCCCCATCCAATCTGTTAGGTGACTACACAAATGGCTGCACTTCAAAGCTGAGAAGACAGCAAAGGGACAGAAACAAGCATTCACAGGTAGGAGGATGCTTAGGACAGACAGCTGCTGGAGGAAACCTGTCACCTTTGCTCCTTCGTTTAATTAATAGCATTAAATCATTTGGAAACCAATGTTCCTCCTCACTGGGGAGCTCTTCTCCTGTGAAACACCATGTACGTTTCCAGCCTGAGGAAAAATGTCACCTAACAAATGTGAAATGCTACACAAAAGCTAAGAGAGAGGGGTGAAGTTCCTGCACTACCTGGGAGGTATAAAGTCTGAACAGGGAACTGAAAATAGCAAGTCATTCAGGAAGACAAATAAAAGCTACTGTAGTGAAAGGTGAGATAACATCAGTTAGAGGAAAATACAGGTTTAATCTGATCGGAACAGAAGGGCTTTCAGCAGGCTCTGTCTGGGATGTTGCTGATCCCTTCCTTCTGGCAGAACAAGCCACCAGCCTTCACAGTACCGGTACGGAGCATTTTTAGGCAGCAAACCAAGCTGATCAGATACATTTAGTGTCGTAAGAATTCCCTCAGGGCTGAGTTTACCTTTGGTGCTATTTTTGCTGAGATGAGATCCATGAGTGAGAAGAACAGCAGAGAAACAAGAAGCTGCAAAGAAAGAGACTGCCTGTTAGTTCTATCTGCGGTGGTGACTCAGAACTTGCGTTTTACAATCAGGAAATAACAATTCACTGAGTACATTCCCAGGATGAACCTGGATGAACTACAAGCACTGCTGTTCCTTCCAGGTGAAGGCAGTGCATTTGAAGATGACAGACTGCAGCCTGGCATTGTTCATCGCTGCTAAAGGTAAATTCCACACTAAATTCACTGTTCTCAAAGCAAGGCTCGCTGCAGTCAGCAAGTCAGACAACAGATGACACCTTCTCCCAAATATAGCAGAAACTGAGTGAGCTACCACAGATGTAAACCTGGAGGAGAGCTAATGTTGGTCCACAGCCGGCACACCACCAGCAGATGCTGTGCAGCCCCTCATCTCAGCAAGTGCATTGTAATCCTGTCCTGACATATGCTGGTTATCACTTTTCTGGATCCCTGCCACACAAATTAAAGGATGCAGTGGTTTTGTGATCCTGGGAAGTTATTTTATTTATTTGTGCTGCTAATCCAGTAGTAAAGCTAACCCTTCTTGCTTTTCCTATCTCTGTCTGAGAAAGGAGAGGGCTGAGCTGAACAACATGTTCTATGCGCAGCAGGTCTGTTTGCACATGCACTGCGGTCAGGCCAGGCCAGGGAAGATGGCAGCAAGAGACCTTTCACTTCAGCCGAGAGTTTTCCAGAGGCACAGACTGCTGCATGTGGATGAATCAAACAAAAAGGAGTGGCACGTGGAACAACTGGATTCCTTGGATTTAACTGCAGTGTCTCATCCCCAAAGGTGGCGAATCCCACAACACTCCCCCTTCTGACAGAGAGATTTGTTCTTTGATGCTGTCACCTGAAGGGATTCAGCACGTGACCTCACATCAGTCCTGTGCGTGGGACCAAGGCCCCACTGCAGAATGATCTGTGCAATCCCACCAATACCGGAGCAGTCGTTGAGGATCTGAGCTGAGGCCTGAGCACCAGGCAGCTGCTGTGACCTCCTGGGACCCCCATTACACTCAGCCCTCCCACTCTTCTCACTCTTCCTGGTATCCTCCTCCTATCTCAAGGCAGATTTTTGACGCGAAAGCCACTGTTATTCCACAGGTACTAAATGCTCATATCGACTCAGTGACACCAGTTTCTGACTAGCAACTTTTGGCTCTAGACCAGTATAAACAGTGGAGGAGTCAATCCCTTAGCAAGAGGAGCTGCTACCATAACTGCTGCCCGGAGCAATAAAACTTAAGAGTAAATAGTAAGGCACAGGTTCCGCTTCAACACTATTTATCTGTGAATGTCTCACTACAGGGACACTCCCCATACTGAGCTCTGGTCCCAGCTATCCCCTGGAAGACCAGCAGACAGAACTGCTGGGCAGTAGCCCAACTTCCTCGTCAGCAGAGCGCTTCAGAGAATTCCTGTGCACAGAGGGCACTGAGCATAGTGAAATGGCAGAGGCATTTCCTGGAAGACTTGGGAAAACTCTCAGGAAATCTGTCGCTGGGATTCCCAACATGTCTTCCCAGAGCCCTTAAAACGCCTGCACTCCTGTCTCCCAAGCCTTCTGCATCTCCTTAACCTTCCAGCCAAGCTGCCTGAGCTAAAACCCCCAAGGACTGCTCTGTCAGAGGGAGAGGTGATCCTGGCATGCTGTGGATTGAGCTCTCAATCTCTGCAGTGCTCTCTCCAGCTTCAGTTTTTAAAGCAGCTGTTTAACAGTCATCCCTGACTTCACAGGGGAGCCTCTGTCCGAGTTAAAAGTTTAAGTTTGGAATAACTTTGCCTCTAGTATAAGTATTTAGCAACCAGTAATTTACAGCTACATTTTGTCAACTAGCCACCAGCAAGATTTCACAACAGGGTTTACCAGGGATACAGCAGTATCTCAGGACAACTATTTCTCAGTTAAAGACATTCTACTTCTAGTTTTCAAGTGTAGGGACCAGCAGACATATTTTAAATGCACCCAGTCTTGCCTGCTCTGTGTCAGTCTCCAGCCTCTTCAGTGCATTTCTCTCTTGTCCATGTCGTGACTGCTGTTGAACAGTACAATGGAGGAAGGCAGCCAAAACCCAAGGAGGGCCAGAGAGAGGGAAAACCACTCCTGAAGAAAGGAAGCTAGGAAACAAAACCAGCATGTCATGGTTTTGAAGGAAAAAAATAAAGTAAAAAAAAAAAAATCACAGCTGTGAATGAGGAGGAAATCAGGGGCTTGGGCAAGTGGTGTAAGTTTGTGTTTGGGACCAAAAAAAAGTTAATTCTGCTCTACAATTTTTTTTCCCCCTTGCAGATGGATGCTAGATGGAGACAGTTTTAAAAAACAAACAAACAAACAACAGTCTAGAAACAGACAGCAGCATTCCCAAATCTCTTTTATCACAAGTTGGGCAGGTAGTCAACTGTATGTTCTACTACACAAGCATGTGATTATTACCTGCAATAACCTGCAAGGGGATTTACACAAAATTCCCAGCTTTTGGAGAAAAGTTGCAGGATGCTGAACAGACAGCACAAGGACAGGTAAAGAAGGAAGCACACAGCAGAGAAGCAGGCAGTACCTTCAGGAGACCAGAGATTCACCAAATCCAGGGAGCAAAGGGTGCGGCAGCTTAAGCGAATGACTCAACGCTGTGCTGAAGGCTATTTCCAGTGTTTGTCTAAAAAGGACTCTGCCTTCTAGTCTCCTCTAAAAAGATTCTCTTTTCCTTATGGTGAAACACTCTGACCCATATTACACAGAAGGCCAGACTAAATAATCATAATGACCCATTTTGAGTTTAAACTCTACAAAGGGATCTGTATATAGCTGTCCTACAAGCCTCAGTCCACATTAGCATTTCATACTGCCTGCAGAAGCACAGCCCAGCTCAGAGAACAGGCCTCCTGAGCGCTGGCCCCTCAGAGAGCAGGTTCTCCTGCCTGCAGATCCACTCTTGGGTTCCTCGTACACACCTGGTAGCAGAGGACTGCCATTCCCTCAGTCTTTCCAGTTCTTCTGCAAGTGGAGCCCCAAAGAGTCTCTTCCACTGAGAGCAAAGGACTGGCTCCAGCCTCAGCCACCAAAGCTAGGAAGAAAGACGGAAACCAGCAGCATTAGCGGTGGCATACTCATTAGTTGTTTGCAGTCAGATATGCACGCTATCTCAGCCAGGTACTTGGAGAAAGGTTTTTTTTTTTCCCCCCTTCTTAATGAAAAAATCCAAGTTGTAGATACACACAGAAGGAACGTCAGAAGTTCCACATCCTGAAAATGCAAGGAGGGTTATTTATGACCGTGTTCATACCATGGTGCCCTGAAACTCCTCTAGCAGGACCAGTCATAATAAAAGAACCGTTCCGCAAAGCCAACGTACATGCTTACCACATGCAACAAAAACATGCATCACCATGTAAAACACTGCATGAAGAGTTACGCACAGGAGAGAAAAGTCTGTGCTTTATGGACTTTTTGGTTGTTTGGCATGTAACAACCAGCCCCTGTATGGCACATCTGAAACCAAGCCAAGTCTCCCAGCTTCTCACTCTGACACCGCCTCTGTTCCACTTCTACAGTGACATGCCAAAAACAAGGCTGCATGCCCAGAGCTGGGATCAGCGATACCAGGGGTACTGAAACACTCTGCAGTTTTCCAAAGGCATTAAGAATTACTGCCCCCACACTTCACAGTTTACATTAAATGAAGTTTCAAACAAACGCTCTGAACCAATTTTCATCTAGCACTCTGAAGACCAAATATGAACAGTTACCACTGCGGAGAAAAGCACGATGGGACATTTGGTTTGACATGCTGTTAGAACAGCATTGACCTCTTCCGCCGGTTCTTCACAGTCCAAGCTGGCACTAAGCAGGCCCTGGAAGTGGATAAATTACAAGATGACTACACACAAACGGCTCTGCTGCTTCGAAGTACCTCACCAAGCCATGCGTAAACTAATCAAAGGTAACTGCAGGGGTCAGCATGGCTCAGCAAAAGAAACGTGTCCCCAACAGCTTCTCCTTCCCCCACCAGCTTTGCTGTATTGTATTAAAATTAACCTCTACCACTACTTCCTCCTGCTACTTCTCTTCATTTTCCCGGATTACTGCTCCTCTTCTTGGAATTTACACCAGCAGTTCTCAAAACAAGGGTACAAATAGCACATCTCATTGCTAAGAATAGCATATAGTCAGGTATCCCAGTACAGAAACACCTACTCTGGCTGGCTAGCACGGACAATGGCGCAGAATGACAAGAGCAGCAGTTACCCTGAAGAAGTGAGCGGTGATGTCGTAGGAGAGCGCATATCCTCTGGAACAGACGTTCTTCTGTGGGAAGACAAGGAGAGGAAAAAAAAAAAAAATCATTCCTTCCTTTCTGAATTACGATTTTCTTTGAACATTTTAGGTGACTGGCACAACAGGACTCGGAGAGCACAGAACCACCCTGTGAGATCCCGAGTATCACTTCAGATTGCAGAAAATTTGTTTCTATATAAAGCAACACCACTGACTCGGTAGTGCTTTACAATCCCAGCACTAGAAAGCAAATCAGACAGCCCTGCTCACCACAGGTTGTGGATGGCAGAAGCAGTTTGATTAACAGTCTTGGAAGGAATGGAGGTTTCTGGCTCTGCCTAATGTGACAGTGCAGGAGGGCTGGAAAAGGCCAGTCAGGATGAATAAATAGAAACAATAGCTATCCTCAGAGCACAAAACAGTGCCCTGAGGGACCTGCAAGCTAACTGATCTTCTCCCAGGAAGCCACTGGGATGTTTCTGAATGTTTCTCTAGTGTACATACCACAGGAGGATGAGCAGGATCTCACTCTACACACAGCAGATTAGTCTCTGCCCTGGCGTGACAGAGAAATTAAAGAGCTCATGCTCAGTCCCTCACTTCTAGGCCTCCATGGGAACACTTCAGGTTTCTCTCTAACTCACCATCAACAAAGGAGGAGCAGGTGACACAGAAGGACAACATATCCACACAAGAGAGAGCATTCCCAAGGCTGCTGCACGTGCGTGCGCACCAGAGACACATGTTGTCACAAACAACGTGACTGGAAAGAACACTCCTGCTGCTCGAGAACTGACCAAGCTACTACCAGGCTACTCTGTGATCACCTGCTGGTGATTTTACCCCCGGCCTGTGCATCCCCAGCTCCAAACACCAATATGCTGGCTGGCTCCACTCCAGATTTGCCTACACCATTTCCCAATGGTTCTCTCTCAATAGCGTAAAATGCCACCACAACTCCAAATGAATGAACCCAAAAGTCATCCCACAGCAGTGCCGAGGGGACCTCTGCAGGGCTAGGGGCTGGAAAGTCTTGAGCAGAATGAGTTGAGCCTCCCCTACGCTCTGACACAAGCTAAGTTTGTTTCAAGTTCGGCTGCATTTTAACTCCTGTCCTAAATCCAAGTTTAAGGTCTTTATCTAGAGCATTTACCAACAAGAAATTATTGTTTGGCTAACGACACGTACCAGCTCCGAGTTTACAAAACAAAAGAAGTCTTCACAGTCCAGTACTGTTTTCTTTCCTTTTCGACGTGTCATGATCAGAGTGGATGCAGGGAGCCCTACCAGAATCCTTAGGTCGGGAAGAACAAAAATAAAATTGACATTACCGTCAAAAAGAGAATCAGACTCCGCACTCTCAGGGGACAAGGCTTTGATATTGAGGGGCGTTTGAGAGTATGTCAAATCTAAGACATCTCAAAGCTGTTGACAGAAACCGCACAAGGAATTTTTCCAGTTGTGCAGAAAAGAACCTGCATTTCAATGAGATATATGCACCATTTCCAAAGAAACTATCAATGGCTCAAAAATGGAAATGCACACCTCGATTATAGCAGCAAATAGAGTAATTTAACGATGGCTAACACCAAGTGGCAGCATTAAGAGTGTTGCTGGCTGTAAAACAGTCTATGAAGATGTGTGGTCTTTGAAATCCAGTCTACTGGTAGGGGCAACTCATAGCCCAAGATGGCACGCTGAAACACAGCTAACTCCTGTGGGTACCAGGGAATAAGTCTCTCTTGCACAATTGTTATCATGACATACAGTGTCATTTTCCCTTGCTGTGGAATCAGAGGGGAGGCTACCCAACTGTGCAGGTACACACCATAATTGCTTTGAGCAGCAGTTTTGTTCGAGGTATTCCCAGCCATTCAGATCTGCATTTACCTTCTGTGCAGCAGCAGCTCCTGCTGCCTCCATAACTGCTCACCCAGCGCAGACCCATGTTTTCTGTCTTTCAGTCTTTCCTGGAGAATCTCAAATAGGAAGTGTTTCTGGGCATCCAAGTAGCCAGAAAACAACTTTCGCCTACACCCCAGCTCCAGTACCATCTCCTAAATGGGGAGGTGGGGAAAAAAAAACAGTGTTTGTCAGGGCTACACACTAGTCTGCGTTCAAACCCTCTATGTTTCTCTGAAGTAATACAAAGAGACCAATAAGAAAAATTTCTCTCTCAATTTCCATATCACTGCTCTCATATGAGAGCTGAGTACCAGCCTTACATACACCGAGGTATTAGGAAATGCTTTGACTTGTCAAATTCGAGGACTGAACATAGAGATGCGCATCAAAGTCTGAAATCACCTGCAGCTTGCACAGAATATCAGGATTGACTGATGTTTTCCTTTTGCCACAGCTAGCCAGGTCCAACCTGAAATTAAGAGACACGCACCAGGTAACTAACTCTGTTGGCCCAGGAGGATAACACAATTCAAATAAAGGCCAATGGCTTCAGATGAAAATAAAGCTCTAACATTAATGTTCCTTAAATAAGCTGTAGGTGAGACAACAACTCTCCTCTGACCCTCCCTCCTTATTTTCCAGCTTCAGCCACTTTCTCAGGGGCATTGATGCTTGTCTGGACAAACAAATCCGAATATAAATTCAACTTAAAAAAGACAGACTGGGGACTATTTGTGACTTCAACCCCAGACCTCTGTCACCTAAAGCAAGATTCTTATGCAAAGACTGGCGAGTCATGCAGAGCCACCTCCCAGCTTCCGCTTCCAGCCAGACCTGTGAGAAGGGAATCACTTCCACAGCCCCATGCGAGGCACAAGCTCACAGCTCCTAGCTTGCAAGGTCATCAGCAGAACCATTGCTTCTGCAGAAATGCAAGTCATGACACAGAATACCTTTGTGAGAAATCCAGAATGGTATTGATAATAACGCCACATGCCTTCTCCAGCTCTCCATCACAGCCACCAGCAGCAGAAGGTGCAGGAAGATACCACTGATAGATGGCCCAATAATGGAAATCATGTCTGCAATATTGAAGAGGAGAAGATAGGAAATCTATCACGGCATTTTAATGGTGCCCTTCCCTTGATGTAAAAGGAAGCTCACACACCAATTGGAATGACAGATAAAAGCACCCATGTAAGTACAAACATAAAGAGAGTCTTCCACCAGACACCACATGTCCTGATGTCAGCCATCTCTTGCTTCCGGAAATGGGGAGGTTTTCTGAAAAGCTATTTGGAAGGAATGCACACGCAGGCCAAAGGTTATCTTGGTGAACTTCCTCAAGTTGAAAAACAGGCCTCATTCTAGCATTGCTTGAACTCTGGACAAACCATAGTAGTCAACAGGCATTTGTGTCCCGCAGCAGCTTGTTCATTTACTTCCTAATCTTCAATGCTTCTTCCTAATTTGGGTGGGAAAGACTCCTGAACTATTCCCTTTTCAACAGGGCCCCTCTGCACTTGCCTTTCTGAAGCAGAGAGAATATCCTTTTCAGGGTACACTTCCAGCTCCAACAGCAGCCACTCTCTGAAAGACAACTGGGAAAAGCAACAATTTGGGTAAGAGGGCTGACCCGCAAGGCAAGTAACTTGTGCAGAACAGTCAGCTTCTTCCCAGCTTAAACCCACCTTCACCCATACCCAGACACAATCCCGTGCAGATTAAGAGATACGAAACAGGAGACATCAACCCAAGGAAGTCCCTGTACTGCTTCCCTTGCAATAAATCTAAACTAAAACCCCACTGCATTCAAAAATTTACTGAAAGCAAGCCTATAAAGCATCTCTCACACACACACCCACACACACCCACCCCTTTGACATTTCCAAACATGCTCATCTTCTTAAAGTCTAGATACCAGAATGAACGTATGTTATTAGAAATAAATGCTAAAATGAACAAAGCATCATAGTCAGACAGACTGGTATAAGCATCAAAGAAAGGTTATAATGCAAAGGTATTTTAGCCTTGTACATCAAGCTAGCCAAGCACAAGGAGTCATTCTAGTAACATGACAAACTCCTCTGCACAAAGACAAACTCATTGTATATGAACTAGGTTAAAAAAAGAAATCCTGTCAAATCAGATACATTGCAGGGATGGTATAAAGAGAATAGCTGAGATGTTAACCTGCTTCGTAGCAAGGCAGAGCCGAACAATCCAAGCTACACACGTGGTTCAGGAGAACACTGACATTTAGACAAAGTGCCAAAAAAGCAAGCGAGTATTTTCAGTTAGTTGACTCACGATCACTTCACAGACAGTACACAGTAGGAAGCTAAGATTACAGACAGCTCTTTTCTCTGCACTTCCTAATCATTTTCTTACTGATACGGTATATCTTGTCAAGCTTTCTGCTTTTGCAATAAGCAGGACACAAAAGCTTTACCTCTAGTTTTCTATTGCTACTTTATCACCATCATCAAAATCTGCAAATAACATTGAGCACACAACCTAGCACACATGGCATCTTCAGCTGTCAGACCAGCTTTTCAGGCATTAAGTTTTTACAAGAAGCTTTTCATCACCAATAAGGAAATTGCAAAGGGCAGATCTGAAAAATGTGAATTACAGTGTGAACTTAAGTCATGAAAAAGATTTATACCTGGAATGCTTTTTCTTTCAAGAGCTCTTGAAAGCGTGCTTGCTTCCATAAACAGAGGCTGGCTCTTTTGTAGTTCAGAGAGGGGCATGACAGGGAACTCCAGACTAGGTCACTTTTAGCCTCCTCGCACAGGATTCCCCGAGCTTCCAAGCTCAGCCGTGGCAAGATGTACTGCAGCTAAAACAAAGGCATAAAACCCTGCACATTTCCATCACAAAAATGGCCCAGTGCAACCTCCAGTTGTGTGAAACTGCCAAGCAAGCAAATACACAAGACAGTAAGATGCGAGGGTACAAAGATGCATTTTTATATAGGTTTTTTTGTACAAGTTATAGTTGCACAGGGGTCTGCAGTGGGAAATTGAATTGAACTGAGTGTGATCTTTCTCATAAGTAATAGCAAAACTTTTTTCCTCTTACCTTTTTAACAAGGCTAGGAGGAAGCAAGGCACACAAATCTTCACGAGAGTAGGATGAAAACTTGCACATAAGATAAGATGCTGCTGCAGTGCAAAACCTGATAGAGAAAAAGAAAGAACTCCGTTATCTGGTTAGTTCAATCATATCTTTTCCCACTCATGAAAGTCCAAAGTCAAAACAAAGATGGAGTGTTAAAAATGCTTTTAACAAACATGTCCCAAACGTGTTTGTTTTTGAGACCACTTCTATTTATGTGCTCCCAACCTCAAGTTCATTAATGGCACAAATTTCAGAACTACAGACTAAACTAAGGCCTTCAACAGCATCCAGTCGGTCCTTCCTCCAGCAGGCAGTACAATCATCAGGATGCGATTTCATGTGGGACCACCATCAGCCTGTTTCTCTGTGTAGCCCCTCTGTGCAGCAGAAACACCTACGTATGCTCTGGGAATCCTCCCCAGGAACATGGGAGGTTTACCAACACCCCTCCGTCAGCAAACCTAAACCCATTGCCTGGGGAAGCAAGGTCATGGTGGATGCATGATCTCACCTCATGCAGAAGGCAAACGACTCTTCTGTCCTGCACACTAGCAAGAAGTTCCAGTACTCAGAAACGGAAAGGATCTTTTCAGGAACAGGTTGAGAAGTCCCAAAATTGGCTTCCACTTCAGGAATTAAAGCTCTGGATTCACTTAAGTGGATCACAAAAGCTGCTAGTCCTAAAACGTGAGCATCATTCAGGGAAGGACCCTGCAAGCCAAAACATAAGTAAAGAACTGAAGAAAGAGAGAGAGTCACATTTAATTTATAACAAAACAACCTTTCTCAGAAAAAAAAAAAATCAGAATTAATCGAGTAGCAGAACACTACTTCTGCACTGAATTAGGCAATGAGCAGCAACATCAATTTAGCAGATGAGAGGCACCAGTTACATTAAACGTGTTCTTCCTTCCTCGAAATTGTGCAGCTATCTTTGGTCAACCTGCAGCAACATTTGTACATTTCTGTAAAACACTAACTTTGAGCAACTAGCTGTAAATTCAGCCCAGCAGAATTTGATACTGTCAAGGCTTTTTAGCTTCTACACAAGCTGATATAGTCCATCAACCTTTTAATTTCACCTTTTCAATATCATGAGGTAAAGAAAATAAAACCAACACTTCTCTAAAAGAAAACCACACACTGCTGCACCCCAGACTTGAGGTCTTATTTTTATTTTTAAATGGGGCATACAATTGAAATATTCAATGTGGAAGCTTGGGAATTAAGCATTCTACTATTTTCTTTTGGCTCTGTTCATAAACTTGTTTATTTTAGCTTCTGTTAAAATTTATCTCAGAATGCACTGACCTTCTACAGTAGTATTTCTGTTGGGAAACATTCCACTCACATTCCTGAGAGCAAGCCCATAGTATTTGTCCAAAATGAGGTTTTGTTTTTGTTGGGGGTTTTTTGTTGGTTTTTTTTGGAAGCCCTGAGAGCTAATGAAGTTCCTTCCACAGTGCAGTCCAGACAGGTACATGCCCCACAGCTCAGGAAATGGAGGTAGGATAGCCTTTAGCACACTGTAACCATATGATTTGTGGTTGGAAAACTAACCTGATGATAAATAAGCTGGCAGAGCCTGGCCAGAAGCGCAGGTAAGAGGCTCCTGTGTCCACACATCATCTTCACAAACAAGGAAAGACATGGTCCCTGCCTGCAGAAGGTAAAAACCACATGCTCATTTTGCTCCTTCCTTTTATCCCCAATACAGGAAGAGGTATTTAAAAATGCTTATACGCACTGAACCTGAGCCCTACTTGTCTGTAAATACAGGACAATTATCATTCCACTTATAGGGTCGAAGGAAGTGTCATTTTTGGAGTATCTGAACAGAGGACCCCTACAAAGGCATGAACTCTGCCAGTGCTGTGCCTCAAATACTTGCTAATACATAGTCTATGAGGTGTTCTGAGATGACAGCAAGGAGAAGAGGAAGCTGCCTGGGGCACAGACAGCTTTTTTCAGACAGAGAGTACAAGGTAAACAGAGGCAGAGCAATAAATGGGGTCAAAAAAACAAAGCAAGGGCAAAAAAGGAACTAATATGCCAAGATCCTGTTCAAAAGAGAGGAAGAGAGGGATGGAGGGACTTTCCCACCCAGCCGACAGAAAAAAACACCCTCAGAGGAGATCAGATGCGGAGTTGGGTTTAGAAACAATTTCTTGGGTCGCTCTTGTTTATCACAGCTACTTTTCAGCACAGGTTTTCAATGTAGATTAATCTGCTCCAGGGCAAAACAGTGTAAAGAAAGTGAAAGACGCACTGGTTGCCAAAGCATGCTGCACTCCGGAGGGGCAGCCACCTAGTTCAGCACCGTCAGCAGCTGGGATCACAGGCAGCTTGTCAGTACATTGTTATTTTCCAACAAAGCGATTTTCCACTGAAATGTTGACTATAATGTTTACAGACTTCTGTTACATCACGAAGGCGATGGCTATTAAGAGAGTCCTTCCAGTGGCAGAGGAGCGCTACCTCTCCCTCCTCATACAGGCCAGAATCAAACTGAGTCACTTCCAGAGGGAAGAGGGGAGGTAGAGGGAAGGCGTATTGTGCTGCTCCTCCTGCACCGGCACCGCTAGACATTATGCCTCACTTGTTTCATATTAGATATGGCATTAGGGATGAAGGCCGAATGTGCCAAAAGCACTGAGAACATGCCAAAAAGACACCCCAAAGACACAGCAGTGTTCACTGTCAAAAGATAAGCATTCTCCTCCCCTGATCTCCAGTGTCAGCCAGCAAGTAATTCCTGGAGAAAAAGAATTTGCTTCATTCCCCATCCCCCACCATTGAGCTGAAAACGCCAGCCTGAGCACGTCGTATTTGTCGAAAATTTTTATACGTTATCACAGAGTACAAAGCAGAGCCAAATGCCACCTTTTTCTGAAGAGAGCAGTAACAGAGGAGAAACATGTTTTATTTACACACACACAAAGTGCATTGGTTCTTAGATTACAGAAACTCAGAATAAAGCAGCCTGCAATTGCCAGCCTGGCACAGTGGGTACGAACAACCAGAAGTCCCTCCTCACCCCTAGACAAGTGCTGGAATTCTAGCGTATTAACCAGTTTTGATTTCCTTACTCTTTTACTTGCATCTTACCTGTCAGGAGGGTTAAAATAGGAAGCAGCTATTAGGTTTTGGCAGAATGATGTCAGCAGAAGATCAACAACCTGGAACAAAAGACACGCTGCTAAATCCTACTTGTTGGGCTGGATATCGAGATCTAGTTTTGTGCTGCGTATATATTGTTTCCCAACATTAAAACAAGGAGACAAGTTGGTTAATGACATTCACTGCAAGTTGTACAGATCCACTGGCACTAAGAAGAGATGGAAAGTCAAGCCCATAACAGCCCAGGAATGATCCCAGCACACAAGTATCTAGACAAGTCTGATGAAGAAAGCCTAGCTCATCACAGGGCTGCTCTGATAGACTCTATCTCTAGATCTCACCACCAGACACCCAACAACTTCCAGGAGGTTAAAACATATGAATAGTCTGTGCAGAAGGTAGACAAAAGGAGAAGCGTACTTCCTGCTCTCCACAGACAAAGCAACCTTTCACAAGTACCATCCAGATGCATTTTTATATACCCAGCCCACTGGGTTCTCACCCCAAGTCAGATAGCACTTACACTCTGATGGCTGGGTTCCAGCCTGGGGGCAGAAACGTCAACTTGGATTGGGGAATTCAAAGTAGCAGCTTCATTCTTATCACTGCTGTGACCCAAGACGCTTGCCAGTCTGTCAGAAATCACCGCAATCTGTGCTGGCACATCTGCAGGAAGGTAACAGGAGAAGAGGAGAACCAGGACAGGAGGCATGACAGATTTACAGCTCCACATATCAGGAAGAAGAATAAGTGAAATATATACTCTAATTGATCAGAGCCCACAGTACATTATGAAAAGCTTTAATGAGCAAAAAAACATAACCTGGAACACAGCGATCATCATCTTCATTTTAGAAGACAACATTAGTTTTTCCCCAGTACTATCACCAACACACGTCCAGAACAGTTTTTCTCACCAGAAGGGAAACAGCCTTCAGAAGTCACCAGGCGAGCCCCAGGAATGGGGCTGCCCATCTTGGCAAAGATTGTGACGATCACTTGGTACTACACCAAAGGGCAGACCTTAAGTTCCAAACTTGAGCATGGGAAATATGTCAGATATTAAAATATATATATTCATAGCTGGAAGAGCTATACAGGTCTGAAAGATTACCATCTTCAGGTACCAGTGGCAAGTAACTACTGCTGCTACTTTGGCTAGCACTAGCCATATTTTATTAATGCAGCTTTTGTAACAGTCAATTATGGGTAGTTATAACTTGACTTTCTGCATACCTTCATGTTTAGCCTGGTCCACAATCAGCGTCCTTAGTTCAGCCAGTTCAGCTTTCAGCTGCTCAGCAGGCTCTTTGGAATGGCTGGTCTCTACTTTTGATTCATCTAGACAAGTAAGAGAGAAATGCAACGCACTATCCTCACCTTTGTGCATTACATCGGTACATAAAATGCATTCAGCAATCTCTGCATACATTTTATGTAAAAGTAGTATTTACTTTTCTATAAGCTATAACAGATCCCCAAACTGTCAATCTGCCACATATACAGCTTTGTTTTTACATTCAAAATGTGCTATTTGATTAATTATTTATGAGTTTATCCCCAGTTGCAGAAAGGAATTCAGTTTTTTAAGACAAGAAACAAAAGAGTTCTTCTTTCAGAGTTGCCTTTCTATTTGCTTTAGCTCTCTGCCCCTCCCCTCACAGAAGCATTTGCTGTCCTCAAAAGGCTGGAATCAGTCTCAAAATACAGAGACAGACATTACAGCATCCATACTACATCATCAGCCTCTCCTCAAGCGCAAGACCATGCAACATCTCCATATGTCACGTGTTACTCTATTCTGCTTTTTGTTTAAAAGAAGAAATAAAAGGAAATTCCTTTTACCACTAGAAAGAGAGCATACCAGCAACAAGCTGCCACAGCGCAGCCCCAGAAACCACCCATGCAGTTCGTTAGACAGGAACAGTGTCTTGTACACAGGCCAGAAATAACTCAACCATGAACAAGAGAAGTAAATAACAAAGGTTAAAATTAATACTTGTTATAGACACACTGTAAAGCAACAAGGTGTTAGGAGACTGCTGAGTCACCTTTATGTGCAAGAGCAAGCACTAACAAACCGGGCAGGATTGAGTATCGGTCAGCTCTAAGCCTGCCCTAAATCCGGTCTCTGTGCAAGAGCCCCAGGGATGGATTAGGATGCAGGGGACAGGATTAGGATGCAGATGAGGCTGTCGGGATGGAGGGGACATGGCTCAGGCTGTGCCACTACAGGTCACTGGCAATTCAAGGACTCCTGCAGAGCCCTGACTGCCCCTCGGGATCCCGCTGATCCCGGCAGGCAGGGATCCTTCATCCCTGCCGGTTGCCAGGACAACCTCTGCAGCCAGACTGCTGCGCATCTGCGGCTCCCCAGGACTGCTCTGTCATGCCTCTCCAGCTACAGCATCTCCAGAAAGCTTCAAACGCCCAAAATGCCCGAGTAGGAGTCAATTACAGATTTGTCTCTGTACACAGAGTCCACTTATCTCCACCGCACTCTGGGAACGATCTCTGCTCACCAGCCTGACCTTTTCATTTTGTATAAACCTGTGGTGAGGATGCTGCCCATTTTAAGAGGCATTTGAAACGCCCACTTGCTGAAAGAGATAGGACAGTTCATTGAATATCTATTACACTGACACACACTGCACCAGTAAGGTGGCTACAGTGATAGGACCTGAAATTAGCAGGGCCCTCCCACCCACTCGCAGGTAAACTATGCGCTGCAATCCCTTTACTGCCGGCTCGTTCCTGGCCCCTCCTGTTTCCCCAGATCACAGGCACGCACAGTAATCCATCCTTAAAAGAGGACGATGGTGAGTTCAGACAGCACAAGTGCCATTACGCAAGGGATCGACCCAGCAGGTTCACACCCCAGGCTAGCCGGAGCTGAGACACATTCAAGCTGCAAACGCTGATTCATGGAGATGTATTTGAGCCAGATTTAAATCAGCTAGCTCAGGCATCACTTGCAGCCTCAGCACAGCACAGAGCTCCGCACTGACTGCAAAAATCCCACCCAGGTAGGACAGGCAGAGAAAGTCATTATGAGAGTAACCATTTAAAACCTCAATAAGACATAAAGAACATACACATAATTACGGATAGATTAAAGACCTAATCAGCTGTAACTTTTCAAAAATTTTCAATTCAGGAGGGCATCAATGGAAAAAAGAAATAACTTTTCAAACTGATCCATAAGTAAATGTTGTATTTTTTACCTTGTAACATTTTCTCTTTCATAGCACGACAGGCTTGCATGTATGTGGAGTACAAGTTTGAAGGTATTTTATCAGCTCTATAATAATAAAAAAAGACATTTATTATACCACATAACCACATTCAAACTTCAGCTTTATTAAATATAAGCATAAACAACAGCTACGCTATGAAAAGTAATTACAGAGGCTCCAAAGCATACAGAGCATCTGAAGCATTTTTTAATCATCATCTGACAGGCGGGCCAGAAATTTATATCCAAGGCTTTCATAGCAAGTATTAAACCTGTGTAACACACTACACACAAACAATACTATATATATTATTAACACATCCATTAATACCCATTTCATATATAGTACATGTCTAAGATCACATAAGAGTGTAAGTTATGTGACATGCAGCATTCACACATTGAAAACGCTAATGTGATGGAGACCAAAGTTTGACCTCCAACACTTGCTGGGCAGGCACTCAATACTAAAAATATATTACGTGAGGCTCCAGTGAACTCAGCTGCTTCTCTTACAACTTTAATTTTCAAAAGCAATCCAATCTTTTCTAGAGTCAGACTGGAATGACAAGGCAGGACCAAATGCCTCATCTGCAGGCAGCGTTGTGAATGTTTTTTCTTCAGAATAGGTTACGGATTTAAAATAAAGCCGTTTCTGCAATGCAGCACTTTTAAACATGCTTACAGGACAAGCTTGAGTTCCAAGAGGGGTTGCGTTCTCCTGGGCCATTATCCTGGTGTCCCTTAAGAGCAGCTCATAAAGCATTAACAGACATTTAAGTTTCATTTTCCACTTCTCCCATACCCTCTCCCAAAGGGAGGAGGAGGGGATCCTTTCACAGGAGGGCTCATCTTCCCCGTGAAATTTTATATCCGGTAGTATCCTCCAAAGTTTGCATAAAAATAAACCTGACCTGCAGTCAGAGGGCTGCATGGGACTTCTAGAGAATTGTTTCATGGGGGCTAGAGGAGTAATTACAGAAGCGAAGACATTCACCTATACAGATAAGCTGCCACAGCCTGCAAGCCACAAGCCTGGCCACGAAGTCCTGCCAAGAGGGTTAGCCAACACTTGGAGGTTTGTAAACAAGGTGTCAAAGCCTCCAATAGCCTGATGTAAAGGCAAATGTTCTGAAGAGAAAGTCCAGAAGCACAGAAAATAACACTGGGAAGTCTCAATACCTCTTTAAAGCATCTATAAAAGCCATGTGCGCATCTGGGGTTTTAGGGAGCTGCAACAGAAAAACAGGCAGGTTAGGCACAAATTACCTGTCTACGAACACACATCTAAATGGGAGGATCAAAAAAAAAAAAAAGCTATAAACAAATACTAACCACACGTGGCCTGAGCAAAGCAGGAAGAAACCAGGAAGTATAATACGGTCGTCTGAAAATACTGAGACAGAAAAGAAATATAGCAAAATATTAGCTATGCCAAAGCTGCAAAGTGCCATCTCATTACCTCAAGAATTAATTTGGCTCCTGCAAATAAGAAATATTCATAGTAACATGAATAACCACAGACAAATCAAGTTCAGATTAGCCAATAGTTATTCGTTTCTTCAATTTTGCTTTTTATTTATATATATTATATATATTTTATT